TTGCACCATTTTTCATCAACATTTTTAGTAAATTCAGGTAAAAGCAGGTAGCTTCATGTAAAAATGCCATGATTGTTAGCATTTTTGGCCAGCTACCAGCTCCCCATATTAGGAGGAATAAAAAGTAGACTTTAAATTGAATGTATGAATATTTCAAACCATAGGAATAAAATAAAAATGTTTTGGCAAAGGCTACATGTATAATACATGCACATTTAGGAAGCATTGAATCTGTGTTTTTCTCATTTAATTTATCTTTCAAGCTGGTCACCAGGCCAGCTAATTCCTTCAAAGAACTACATTAAGTGTCAGGCAATACCTCAGCCATAATTATAAATTAGAGTTTTAACCTTGTAATATTCCAATACTGAACCCCTTTTTCATCTTTCATCTGTTATCCTATCAGTGAAATCTCAGTTTTCCCTCTGCTGTACTTCAGTTGATGAAAACAGTAACAGATATTGTATCAGGAAGACATAAGAAAGACAATAAAAATTACACTAGAGGGTCATTGACACCAGCAGGAGTCTGTTTATTATTTGATATTGAATAACTATTCAATTTTATACTATTGAATAATATTGAATAATATATTGAATAACATATTGTTTACAGCTTTGCTCGATTTCTTTCACAACCGATGACGAAGTCCGTAAATAACAATACTTAGGTGCAGAAGTATATCTAAAAAAGATAAGTTGAAAACAAAAATCTCAACAACTTAAATTCGATGCTGATAACTCTATATTCCATCTCCATGGGGAAAAAAAATCGATCTATCATTAGGATATTATCTTACTTTACTGCTTGAAATTATTGTGCGGAGTATCATAGAGATAACTTCCTCTCTACTAGATGACACTTAAATAAACATGCAACCAAACAACGGTCTAGCGATTTATGTTGAAGCTTACAGCAAAAAGTTCGATTAACCCTCGAAAAATTTTACCAGCATCATGTTTGGCAGCACCTTAAATAATTTAGTAATCAAAATGCGGGTGTGAAATTTAACAGCGTAAAACATCAACTGCGTTCGTGAGTTGTAAATTACGAGGTAAATACAAGATATAGCAAGCCGAAATGGACGAGATAAAGAATGTCAATAAAATTAAATCATAAAGTTCATAAACGAAGTAACCTGGTCAACTCACCGACTCCAATATTATGAGGCTTGACATATTGACTGCCCTGTTTAGCGTCGATTGTGTACCCACATTACCATCTTAAGCACCTTTTTAAAGACTTTCGATCTACCAAACCAAAGTAGACTTTTCTCTTAAATGAACTGTAAAAGGTGGCTGCGGAAGACTGCAGTTTGTGTCAACAAAAGAACAACCAACCTCAAACTGCAAAGTTCAGGACGCGGAACCGTCGTCATGAGACTGGGCAGTAATACTATTGTTATCCCATCATGCATTACGACGGATTCCGGTAAAAGAGAAAGATCGAGTTCCTTTGCGTCTTTGGCCCAAGTTCCACATAAAAGAAATGTTTTGATACTTCAAAACGCAGCTTAATGAAAAGTGAATTGAAGACCGTTGTACTCCTTGAGGACCTCTATTAAAGCCGAGGCTGCTCGCACCTGTAGAAGTGAGAGCAAAACCTTTGGAATCCTTAGGTCGATTTAATAAACGCACCCTCGGCCTCTACTCATCTTTATCATCTCTTCAGACGTTGCAAGTTCCTGTTAGTGATTTATAGGAGCTCGCGCACGGAGCGTGCGCTTTTATGACGACTTCCTTGTTTCAAATTTTGTAGACAAATGCGCGCGCATGAAGTAGCACAATATGGTATGTGAACGTTCAGGATGCTCTCAGATCTCTGAGGCATTAGATCATTATCACAAATTTTGGGAACAGGGACCTACTGAACTGTAAGTTGTTTACTGGTAAAGTAGGGCTGAGAAGGTGAAATAGTGTTGAGGTAAATGGAATGGTATGTAGTGCTCCCAGATGAAACTCTCTAAAGGAGAAGAATGCCGTTAGAGACAAGATTGTCAATAAGATGAAGTCTCGTAACACTGATCGATATTCTTAATAAGTAAATGAGACTATTACAAACTCCATCAACACTGTAACAAAATCAAACTGACCAAAATTTCTCGTATCTTTAGATTCATAGAAGGCCCAAAATGATTAAATGGTCCCCGATAACATTAGTTAAATCCAAATCTCTCGGAAACACAGCATATTCTAACTGCAAGATTGAAGAAAATGGTCTAGTGTACAAAAATAACTGCAAAAAATGTACAATTTCGAACCAAATGCATTATTTGATAAACTACAGTGCGTTGATAGTTCTAACGAGAAATTCTGAGCTTGAATATAATCACGCATACTGATGCATAAATAAGGCTTGCGGCTTAAAATTCTGGCGAATCGGAAAGCATGCGTCCGTCCGCGTTTCTCAAAGTTATCGCCTCTTCCGGCAAACTTGTATCGCTGCTGTCTGAAAGCCTTAGTTCTTTCTGTATATTTGCGATGTCATCGTCAATTTCTTCTATTTCATCTTGAAGGTTTTCTGATGAAAAAAAATGTACTACATTATAAAGGAATCAGGCTAGACTGTTCTTGATCATTGGGGTCTCCATTAAAAATAGGATAATCAGTTTAGCTTAGTGAAGCACGATTCCCATGAAATATTGTTGATTCATTTTAGCTAATTTTCAAACTACAAAGGCATAATATGCCTTAAAATAAATTTGACGAGTCAAAAGGTCTAAGTCCTTACCTGACGAGATGTCGTTGGCTCGTCCGTGCCTCCCGTCATCTTTCTTCTCCCTCTTTGACGTCGGATTCGCCAAGCTAGAATCTTTACAATGAGCCTTCCTCTTCAGTTCCTGTTCTTTCTTGGGTTCAACATCCTTCTTGGAAGCTACGGAATGTGCAACGCTTTTATCTGATATTTTCCCTACTCCAAACTGTTTGTGGTTGCTTTCAGGCAGTGAAACTGCAGGGCTAACAAAGTGGGGCTTTAAAAGCTTGGGCATCTTTGGAATTTTGCTAGTATTACCATCTTTGGACGCCATGGGAGGTTTAAAAGCAGTCTTTATCAACTTAGGGAGGCATTTCTTTCGAACTGAACCATTCTCACCGCTAGCTACTCTAACATTTGTGCTTGAGGCTGTTTTTTTATGCAAGAATTCAGGTTTTTCGGGAAATTTTGGATTCTGTTTAGATTCCCAATTTTGATCTAGGACCTCTGAACTAGGGGAACGTGACACTTCTTCCTTGATGCTTGCCGACTCGTTACTTTCTCGCTCATGGGTACGTTGTTCACTTGTTGAACTTGACTGATCCCTCCCATCAGACGGATCTTTTCTTTTATGTGGCTTTTCATCACTAACATGTAATTTTGATGCGGAGCTATTAGCCTCCTGGCTTGAAGTTTCGTTATTAGTTGGATTTCCTTTCACTAAAACATCTCTGGAACTGATTATAGATTTTCGCTTCTTAGTTTTGTCTCCTGGAAGAGTTTTTCCATGCGTTGAAACATTTGACTCCCTCGCTACATCCTTTCCAAGGGAAGAAATATCTTTTGAAATCATTTCATCCATCTCGTCACTTTGATTTGGCTGTTTATCCTGTTCAGATAAATTATTCTCCTCGTCTCTTGATTTTGACGACACTGATTTGGTAAAAACGACGGCGTTTTTATTCTCCTCCACCTGTTCTTGCTCAGATTCTTTGGAGAATTTTTTGACAATGTTTTCTATGACATTCTTACTTTTCTTTCGTTTCTTTGTTCCCTGTATTTCGTCTGAGATTTGCCTCTTCTTATTGACTTTCGTGACTTTGGTTCTACTCGCAGTTGGAACTCCAACGGTTTCTTTACACGGTTTCATGATGGCTCCATTTGCACTGTTCTCTCGCTCACCGAGCGTTTCATCCAAATTACTGTCGGTGTTTGAGACAATGTGGACTGTTGGTTGAAGTTTCTCGATAGCCATGGTAAGTTCCTGCTGTCTAAGGGTGTTTCTTGATTCGTCGGTAGGTTCACACATTTCAGAACTTTCACTTGAGGCGACACTATTCACGGTTGAATCCCCTGAGGATAAAGTTCACTTAGTCAAACAATTATACAAAATTACCAATTAACTATTTATTCTCTTCGTTCTGCTGTAAGACCATGAATTAAAGATATGTCAGGAAAAACAGTTATAGGGATAAGTCAAAGCCTTATCCTACGAAACATGTTAGTAAGAAAAACATGGGCTTATTGCAAATACGGGTACGCCGTATTCTTTAGTACTCGATTTCAGAACATAACATGCTAAAAATCTGGAAACATACACCCTTAAAAGACACTGATTATGTACACAAACAAATTAGGTGCCGCTATATAGTCATCGAACTGTTACGACTGAAAATAGCCTTCAGTTTCTTTTTATTACCAAATAAGTGAAGATATAAGTTAACCGTTAAAACATGGTAATTAAGTACTCCAGTGAAAATCATCAGAAAGTGCGTGCAACTGACCTTCATTGGGATTGGTTGTACCAGAGCCCTTCGAGACGATAAATGCCTGAGTCTTTTGCTTCTTTTTCTTCATGTGTTTTTTCTTTGGGCTACAAGAATTTCTTACTTTAGTGTTGGTCTTGCTTTCCGTTTGCTTTCTTACAGCGTTCTTTATCCAATTTTTAGACTTTGGAGGGGTTTCTTGATCGTTTTCTTCGGGACTGCTGAAAGACCCGTAGCTTTGCCCACTGCTGCAATTTTCCTGGCTGGATGAGCCTGTAACTAAAAAAAAATAGCCGACTGTCACCAAAATCTTAATTCAGCTGGTTAAAAAAAGGAACCAAACCGAAACAAGATTTGGCAGGGACATAATAGTTCACAATAATTTGCATTACTTGAGTATTGCAGCTTATTGTGTTTGACTGTGCGGATGTTAGGATTCTTGCAGGCCTTTCCGCTCCCACACCCGCGCACTCTCTTAGAATCTCCGTTTTCTTCATCTCGATACTCTGTTTTGATTGTCTTGATAACTCCCTCGGTAACTTTTGTGTTCTGTGGGCGCTAATACGACAATTAGCAAGACCCTTTTAGATAATGAAGCTTTCAACTATCTCACCTGAATCGTCCAACTCTCCCTTCTTTAGACTTGCTGAGCGCGCCTTCTCTTCTGCTTTGTCTCCGATGGTGCCTTTATAGCGCGCTTTAAAACCATATTCGGACAATCGACTCTGCAGGAAGAAAGTTTTAAAAGGTTCCTATTTTTAACTGTTTTCCTATAGCAATCAAACAGTTACAAGCTGTCTTAATTATTCTGAAATCATAAGAGATTGGACTGCTTGAAGAAGAGGAGAATCCAAGAGATAAAGGAAGTACCTGCAGTGACATTTTTGCTGCTCTCCGCGCTTCTCGTGTGGCAGCTGTAAGTTGTCTTCTGTAGTTCTTTCCTTTAACGCTCACCTGAAGAAAGAAAGAGTCAAGGAAATTCAACACCATTAACCCTATTACTCCCAGAAGTGATTAGCATGTAACTTCTCCCTATTATATCCATATAAAGTATTTAGCAAACAGGTAATGATAATACTCAATCTTATCCGGTAGAAGTTCTTATCTTGATCTAACACCATTTTAATAGGAAATGTGTAGCAGCGAAAGGAGAGAATTAACAATCAGATTTTGGGAGTTAAAGGGTTAAGATAATTTCATAAGGTCAAGACAAACATGTAATGTCAATGGGGTTAAAAGCTCCTCTTTAGAAATACATGCACCAAGGCTGAAGTTTTTGCGGAAGAAGGAAACCGGAGAGGAAACCGGAGAGCCCGCTCAAAAGCCCTCAGAGCAAGAGCGGGAACGACCCAATTGCGTGTGACACTAAGTCCGGAAATGGAACCTAGGCTACAACAAACACCAATGGCGTTCTATACAGATCAACATCATAGTGAGGAGTTACCGAACAAACCTTTCCCAAATCCTCCGGGTCATCATCACAAGAAAAGTTACGGATGCAAGCAGTGTTCACCCATGACCTTGACACTTGTTTGTCAAAGAACACCACATGGAACGACACCTGAAATTTACATATTGCCTCAGAGTGAATATAGATCATGCATTTTTATTTCCGTTGAAAACAGTTTTCTTCGTTAGGGTAAGATAGTTTTCATATTGATTACCGGAGTCAAATTATCTTCTCCTGTTTCACAATAGTAACCGTAATCTGGGTCGTTCTCCATCATTGCTGGCCACCTTTTGATTAACAAAGAAATGAAGACAATTAGTGCGAGCCACTCGGCGTGAAAAAAAGAAAAGGATGAAGGACTTCAAGAAAGGAAAAAAGCATCCAAGGTTATCGAATCACACTGTTGTCAATCTAGTACACTGTTTCAGCTGTAAACAAAGCTTGATTTCGGAAGTTGTCATGCGCTGACATCGCTTTAAGGGAAGCTTTGTCAGTCGATCCATTTAAAGGACGTTGAATTCGACGTTTTTAGAATTATAGGGTTCAAACCGATTGTATTTCACGGAAACTAGCCCGATTAAAATAAATAAATATAAAATAAATTGAGTAAGTACTTTTGCTTTAAGGATTTCTTAAAAATCTTATCTTACCATGGGTAACCAGTCATCTTAGCCCACACAATAGCCCCACTTGGATAAGGTGTATACATTACTTCCAAATTCCCCTCTTGACTATCAAACGTTTCTTGTGAAATACTACATGAATTGTAGCAATCATCTGCAAAGACATCACTCTGAATGAGTAATGTGATGTGTGAGTAGCTTTAACAAAGGAAATCATAGGCATGGTTAGTTGAAGATATATAGGCTTTGGGCCTTTCCCCACTTGCGACAAAGTTGTTTATTTAGAAAAATTTTCTGTCATCACCAACATTTTACAA